GTTATGATGCAATAAGAAGATGTGGTATGAATTCAGGGTTGTTGTTACTTGAATGAAATATTGTATCATCAAATATGATGGACTTTTTGATTGCAAGGCTGTGAGATTATGAGTTGGACAAATTATAAATTTTATGGAAGTGAGAATGAGATATAAAAAGATAGAGTCTTAACTCAGTGAGAGCTTTTGCTCATTACACTGTGGTTGAGATTGTAAATTAATCAGCAGCAACGAAGCACCACATCTCATGAAATGCGGTGCTTCAATACCGCTGTGTCTTATCCTCACAAAACAAATGCTCCATTGTTGAGATTATAATCAACCACAGTGCGCAAGCCAAAAGGCTGCCCTCTTCCTCCCCTGGCTGTTTGGCAAAAGGTCCAGTCAATGCCTAAAGCCGGCCAACAAATTGCCTGCACAGCGCAGGCACTCAACAGAGCTCAACAAAGAACTCCCAACCTCTATCTCACGATGAATGATTTTGTGTCTTGCGTGGGAATTTTCCAATGATCAAGCTGCCAACTTGTGGTTGCAGTTTTGAATCTTGATAAATGACGTGAAACTGGCCAACTTTGATGGAAAAAAACCAATCACCATCCTCCCCTTTGGAGTTCTCAGAACGTCTTACAATCAACCACTTCCCGATCTGCTCTTCTCAACACCAACTTCTTCCATCTGTCTGATTGTCAAGTTAATAAAGAACACTCACCCACTTCACCCCCACCTACACTGCCGTCCATTAAAATTGATCTGTGATTTATTTTTTTATTTTCTAGACAATGATTTCAATCGAGTCAGTTAAGTCGATCTCAACATCCTGTGTCATGTATCATGGACCAGAGGTAACTAACCTTATAAAGAACAGCTACTTTCTGTTTGATCGCCACAGAGATGGATTGACATCAAAAATTGGCTTTGCACCACCGAACAATTGATTGTGGACTCAGACCTCACCTCAACCAATCTTTTTGAATGATCCAAATTAAATTCTCCAAAGATTGTTCATCATTGCTTTTGCTTTTGGTAGTCAATTGATGAGGATCACCATTAAACCCTCTCACATTTTCCTGGGATTGAGCGCCTGCCAGTAAGTTGTAACCATTTTCCTATTTATATTCTACAACTATGATACTTTCATGTCTTTCCTCAAAACATCACTAATCTGAAGCTGTTTATTCAGCCCGACCAAAGCGAGCTTTGTTGCGCTCGGTTGCCTCACTCACCCAATTCTTTGACATCCAGCCAAGGTCTTGACCTCTGTTTAGGTATAGAAGATCTGATAAGGTGTTTAGAACTCGAGATCATTCAAATTGTCTTCATATTGTCAATCAATTAGGATTTAAAGTGAATGATACTAAACAAGACTGTTAAAAGTTCATCTTCAAATCGGTCATTCTATCCGATGTTTTTTTTTCTATTTTCATTTTTTCATTTGTTCATGTGATGTGTCTTCTTTTGTAATTTGTGAAACATCAAAAATATCTTTGAAATATTTATGATAATCCACATGGATTCTTTCTGCGTGAAAACCCATTCAAAGCGAGCTTTTGCGCGCCTGTGCCCATCTGCCAATGCCAAGCCGATCAGCTTTCTGGGCTCATTGTGAACCAGGACGGACCACGTGACCCGCTTGGATTTAGTGCCCAGAGCGAGGGCGGCCATCTGGCAGACAAAAGATGGCCATTTGGCCGTTTACCGGCGGCCTGTGGTCCGCCTCACACACGGCCTAATGGCGGTCGGCCGCTGGGACCGGTCGAAATACCGCCTGTCCGCATTTTGGATTCGACCGCCTAAAGTCGGACCCCGAAGGCGGCCTGCAGGTGGTCTTGGCCGTGCCGCGGTGTTATACAACAACCCGTTTTGTGGCACCGGTGATTTCGTGGGGTGGTGTTGACTTCAAATAGTTGCATTCGATATCCACCTGGGATGCATAAAACTACCGCATGTCTTCTGCTTAGCGCGTGTGAAAGTGCTGAGCCCGGTTTGTGATCATTGTTTCCGGTCAAGATGGAAATTTTCATCAGCGACTCAAGTGCACTGGTGGATGTGAAAGAAATCCAAGGCTCACTTGATCAGTGCGATACGTGATCTTTTGTGAAACACTGTTGATGTGATTGCTTGGATGATTTCAGATTCAAGTGATTTCAGTCAAATTGCGAACTTTTTCAGTTCGTGACGATATTTTGTGATTAAAGAAACCACCAAAGTTGTTCGGCCGTGGCAAATATGGACAAAGTCCCGTGCCGACGATGGCACTTCCATCAGGAACAAACTTGCTTCTGTGCCTTGAGGGATTCTTTCAGCAGACCGGGACACAATCTCAAGCCAAAGACAGGTATAAATATCTGCCGGTTTGTCCGATTTCTCCTTCTCTTCATCCTCCATCATTCACATCTTTTGATAACATTTCCCAACCACTTCTCACTCTGCACTTTGCATATCCATCATCTGAATCTTTTCAACTCTTCCACAACTGCATCATCACATCACTCAGTCTCCATCTTCTACCATCCAATCCAATCTCAGCGATCTTGATTTTTCTCGATCTTCATCCTTCAATCTCTTCAACCTATCTCATATTTACTCAACTTCCTTTAACCAACATGTCTTACCTATCACTTGGCCTTAACTTGCCTGCACGATTCGGAATTGATCCTTGGTTTGTCATGAAGAGAGCTGTAGCACATTGCAATGCGACAGTCTCATGTGCATCATCGGACAACTCACAGCAGGTAAGCTTTTCTTTTGTTTCTTCATCTGATCAATGTCCAGTCAGCTAATTTTCTTCATTGTTTCTCATAACAGAATGCCTATGAATTGCTCCTCATCAGTCTTTGTAAAAGTCCAAAACTGATCACATGGAATTCGACTTCAACCCATCAGGTTTGTCGACTTTCATATTTCGTGGTTTTCCACTTGTTTCTTTCTTGCTGACATCTTTGGTATCTATTAGTCTGAAGTCTCAGAAGAAAAGTCAACCGAATCTTCCCCTTGTGTTGCGCTACCTCAAAGGAAGCGTCCTGTTCGTCGACAAAGACTTGCAAAAATCTTGATCTCGGATGAAGATTGTAATTCGGAGATGGTTTTTGTCAAAAAAGTTGATCCTAATTCGACTTCACTCAACCCAACAACTTCTTTCATCCCGCTCACTGAAGATCAATCCGAAAACTTCCACATCTTCAATGACGTACTCGCTGAACACAATGTTTTGACAACCTCAACACCTTCACTTCCTACCTCCAATCTTCCCTCGCGTGTTCCAAACTCATCTCGAGCAACAAAAAGATCACATTCAAAATCACAACTTTTCACCACACCTGCACCAGTTTCAAAGAAATCAAAACCAACGCTTCATTGGACTGAAATATTAGATGATCTAATGACAGCGGCTGATTGGGAAGAAGCAGAAGAAGAGTTAAAGAATGAAAACAAACCATTAGTTAATCCAACTTCCCTCAACGAAACTCTTTCTTTTATCCCGCTCACTGAAGACGAATCTGAAATTTTTTGCATCTTCAACGAGTTACTTGCTGAACATCAAGTATCTACAATCTCAACCTCCAAACTGCCCTCGATCACTCATAACTCACCAGTTTTCACCACTCAGTCACCAATTTCAAAGAAATCAACACCAACACTTCATTGGACTGAAATCTTAGACAACTTGATGACCGCTTCTGATTGGGCAGAAGCAGGAGAAGAGTTACGGCAAGAAACTGATAAAATGGCATCAATAGAGTTCATGCCTCTTACTTCAGTAGAATCTTCCAACTTTGATATCTTTAACGAGTTGGTTCTAGAACATCAAATCTCAGAGACTTTGAAAGCTTCTACTTCTAGTACACTGGCTACTACCTCGTCCTCTTCATCTCTCAACACGACCACTTCTTCAAAATCAAAACTTTCGAAACCTAGCTCAAAGAATCTCAAAGATACTAAAAGACAACTTCATTGGTCTGAAATCTTGGATAATTTGATGACAGATGAAGATCGACAAGAAGCCGATGAATCTTTCACCATCACTCTTCCTTTCTCTCAAGAAAGACGTTTAGAGTCTTTTACAATTGATGAGACTTATTCTCTCCCATCTACACCCTCTTCGAACCTTCATTCATCTTATTCGAGCCCTCAGAATACTCATTCTCTACCAACACCTGTAGAAGAACTCAAAGATCCGTTCAGTTTAATTAATAACAATCATCAAAACTCTTATTATCATTCAGATATCAGTTTTGAGATTGTGAAATCTTGTTTAGAAGAAAATGATGATTTTACAACCGATCTTACTAGTTTGAATCTTGAAAAATCTCTATTAAATCTTGATTTCGATTTTGAAAATTCTTTCTGTTGATGACTCGACAAAAGAATTGAGTATGTACCTAATAGAAATCTTTTTCGAAAAGTTTAAAATAAAATGTTTTTATATAATTTCCTACTATCTGGCCTGATTTTTCCTATTTTTCCTTCTTTTCCTCGTTTGTGTTTTTCTCTATTCGGTTTCTTTCTGATTTGTAATTTTCTTTTGGATCGTAATGAAGCAATTTGACATCATTCATATAACTGAGCCTGAAGAAGGATTGAGAGAAAGCGAGAGGGACCTGTTGTGTAAGCTGAACAGTAACCCCAAATATGACTTAGCCTAGAGCCTTTACATAGTTCGTATTTGATAATTGATTCCAAGAAATCAGATCCATGACTTGTTTTGCCATTCTCGTGTTCAATGATCCCTTACATGATATTTACATCCTCTAGGACTGGCCATCCATGATCGCCAACTGATTTTGCAAAGTTGTGCACCCATATCACGATGGGGTTCAATGCCTTGCATATGGACCGATATGCTGCGTTACGCATGTCGTGTCGCAACCTTCAGAACCGTCAATTCGATCACCAAATCAAGTTTCATGAACACGGACTATATACTCATAACCTTAAAGAAGATTAAACTTCAAAGGTAATGTACCACTAAAACCCCCCAAAAATCCAGTCTTTGCCATGTTAAGATCCCATTAATAACTGAACTTTGAACTTCTTCATTTTTTTCCTCAATGTCCAATATACAACAAAATAGTTGTCCCTATAACCAATGAATCTGATTTCCTCAACTCTATCTTTCCAAACCACCTATACATTAAAAAGTAAAAAATAAAAGAACTGATCCAATACAACCCACATCGCTTCTCAAAGAAAAAACCCCAAATCCTCTACACCATCTATCACCAAAACCTTCGCCTCCAAAAAAAATCGATTTTTGATCAACTTAAATTGGTTTTTTGCCAAATAAAAAAACTACTACTAAACAATGAAGGTTTAGGTAAGATTCTCCTTCTAGGAATCTCCACTAAACTAGTGGTATACATTAATGGATTATTTGAATGATGGGTTTGATTAGAAACCGAAGGGACCGAAACAGGAGGAGCAGGAGGTGGAGGAAGTGTATAACGTTTATAACCTCCAGGTCTTAAGATTACTGAACTTTCGATCATAGCAGATGAAGGAGCTGGAAGAGTTGGAGTAAAACTTATGGGATCGGTTGCGGCTGGTGAGGTGCTGGATGAAACTTGGGGTTCTGGTTTTGGGTTTTCGAGATGAATGTTGGATGGGATTGGTCTTAGTGCTAAATCTCTTACAAAGATCTTATAATCAATCTGACCATTCCAAAAAAAATGCAATGCAAATATTATAAGAATTCATCATTATTCTAATATTTGACTGGAAAAAAATACACGTTTTGTGTAAAGATTAAGCTTACTTCAAAACTCATCATCTCATTAGCTTGTTTCATCAAATCGAATCCAAAACGGTTTTGTTCTTTTAATAATTTCTTTTGTTCGATTCTTTGTTTGGATCGATTGATTAATCTTTCAGCTGAAGTACCTACAAACCTAAAAAAGAAAATCAAATCAAAAGATCATCAAATCAAAAACGAAAATAATCAATACCCAAACTTGAATGATTGAAAAAATAAAAGTTTTCAAACAATTGAGATCGTAGATAACTTACGTTGTAGTACGTGGTATATTTCCAATCGGTTTACTAGGTTTCTCAACCGATTTCTAATCCAAACCCAACCCCCCCCCAAAAAAGTCAATAAATTTCTTACAAAAACCAAGCTTTTTTTTCTGAAAATTATGAAAAAACCAAAAGAAATAAACCTTTTCAGATCCACCAAAAAGTGCACCCCAACAACTAGGATCATTCAAATCGAATTCACCCGTTGAAGATTTATTTAAAGTAGTCGGATTCGTACCCGTACCTGTACCCTGAGTCATAATCTTAGGTTTTTTATTCGACACATTGATTTGTTTTCCATTACTTGATTTATTAGGTCTTTTAGTAGTAGTTGTTGTGGTAGTAGGTGCAGGTGCAGGTGTTGGAACAGGAGTCGAAGTACTAGAAGCTACTTTTTTATGATTTGAAGTGATTGGTTTAGGTTGAGGAGTAGATGATACATCAAGTAATGGGTTATGATTCACTTCTTTAATCGGATTCTGTTTTCGTTTCTTTTCTGATTTCGGTGGGTTCGTACTCAACAGTTCTTGTGATGGTGATGGTGATTGTATTTGAGTTTGAGCTTGAGTTTGATCGATCGGATCGGTTGTTGTTGTAGGAATAGTAGTAGATGGTTTTGATTTTTTGGTGTTGGATTTGTGGGTTTGATTTGATTTTGATTTTTTGTGGATTGAGTTCCGTTTGATTTTAATAGATGCTAATGGGTTTGGAATCGAAGGATTAGGTTGGTTTGGTTGGTTTGTAAGTTTTTGATCAGTTTGAATTGATTCATCCTGTTCTTGTTCTTGTTCTTGTGTTTGATCTGGTTTTGAAGGACTAGGAATGATGAATGAATGAGCTTGAGTATCTTGAGTAGGACTGGTGAGATTAGTGTTAGGTGGATCAAAGTAAGCTAATGGAGTTGGAGCTGTTTCGAAAGTGATAGGTGAATCTGGTGGATGGTGAAGTTGAGTGTGTTCTTCACTCAGATTAGTAAGTGGTGATGAATGATTTGACATTTTGATCGGATGAGTAATCCAATTCCAATTCAACTTGTCTAGATTTATATATTCAACTCGGGTATCATCTGCTATCGGATCTCGACCATCGGACATCGGATAGACACTCACTGTAATGTACTATGTCACTGATCTTGTAAAGTTAATCCAATCTCAACTTAACAGTAATCCAATCCAACCATCAATCTGATGAGATTCTTTTACTTCTTCATCTTATCAATTCCATTCTTGGTCAATTCATTCTCATGGAATCATAAAAAATTCAAATCGGAAGGACTCATCAATCTAGATCAACTCGGTTTAGAAACTCAAGATGGTCATATCATAGCCTTGGGTGATTCAAATGCTGATCAATTGTAAGTATCAAATCAACAATCAACAATCAACAATCAAATCAATCTAATGAATTCTTTTGAACTTTTTCGTTTTGTAGTCAAGATTTGTTTATCCTAAGTCAAGATCAAAGATCAATTCATCTTTATCTTTGGAATAGAGGTAATACTAAAACTCATTGGAATTCAACTTGGATCTCAATTTCTTAAACTGACTTTTTCTTTCTTTTCTTGGGGGGTCTTCTTTTAGATCAATATCAATTCTTACCAGTTCAAAACAATCCTATCATCTCTCATTCAATCGATCAATTTATCATCACTAATATCATTCTCACTGATATCAATTATGATGGGGTCAGTCTTTTCTTTTGCTGTTTCTATACTTTTATATTTTGTTTATTCTGATTCTTCTTTCTGACTTCAATTTAGCGTCTTGATGTCTTGGTCATGGGTTCTCATAATCCATCAGGTGCAGCCAATCAAGTTTTAAAAATGGAAGTCTGTTATGGTTTAGATGGTCAAAACTTTGGTTAGTTCATTTGATCAATATCATATTCCTTAGCGCATACATTGACATTTGTATTTGTATTCTAGCTGCTGCTATTCCTTTACCATCATCATTACTACCTCATCCTCTAGCCATCGATTCACAGGGCACGATGAAGGTAGATTTACTCGGTTTACCATCTAGTTTACCTTCGGTCTTTAAACTATGGCGTAATCAAGCCAATGCTCAAAATACTACTACACCCTTTGATATGTCTGTCTAATTTCAACTTTTCATTTAATGCTGCTGTTAAACTAAATCGTATTCCAATTCTAGTGTAGACCTTCCTTTCAATGGAGAACTTAACTGTAATTTACCTAATCCACACAGTAATTCATTCATAGATCTAGATGGCGATTGTTTAGCAGGTGAGTCATCTCATTCTTTATTCATCTCTTTCAATTCTCTTCATTGATTTTGTTTTTTTTCTTTTCTTTTTTTCTAGATATCTTTTTAACTTGTGAAGATAGTTTAGGTCAACAAACGTATCAAATCTGGATCAATCATCATTCTCAAGGATTCTCATTATCACGAGAAGGTCTCTTACCTAAAGGTACCAAACATATCACTTTTGCTGATGTAGGTAAGCCTTCTTGATCCGCAAAAAAACCCTGCTTTTTTTTAATAAGCTTGATCATTCATCTTCAAGCTGATGTGTTATTTTGATTATTTTTTTTAAAGATCGAGATGGGACAATTGATATGATCTTTGCTACTTGTCCTGATGATGATCATTGTTCAATTCATGTGGCTTATAATCAACAAATCCCATTATGTAAATCTCATCCTACTTCAACTGATTCCAATTGTCGAGATCCTCAAAACTTGTGCACAGCCGATCCCAAGTTTGAATTTTCCTTTGAATCAAGCGAATCGGTGAGTGAAATTGGAATTGATAATCTTTTTGATGTTGAAAGTTTAAGAAAAATTGGATTTGATGGTTTTTTAGGCTTTCAGTTCATTGCCGATTGATCAACTTTTTCCAGAGTTTACATTAGTGACTAAGATTTCATCAGATGATTTTTTAGGTACTAGTCCTGTATCGATTCAAACTGGAGATTTTGATTTAGATGGGTTTCCCGATTTATTGATCATGATCACTCAACATGGTCCAGATTCAAGTCGATCGGCTACACCTCAATTGTTACGTAGTATCCCTTGTAGTTTGACAACTTGTACATCGGCGGAAGTGTCGAGTTCGAGAAGAACGTTTGAAGCGATGGTGGATCATATGAACCCATTGACTTCCATTCAAGATGCTAAGAGTGTGTTCTTTATGGATATCGATGAGGATGGAACATTAGATCTGGTGGTTCAAAGAGCTGGAAAAAGTTTGGTTCCTACAAGTAGATCGGTGACCTTTATTAAAAATAATTTCTTTAATGATGCTTTTTTCTTAAAAGCGATGCGTACGTTTGTTTGTTTTTTTTGAGCGGGTTTGGGTTTGGATGAATCGATTTGACTTATGATTTTTTTTGTGGATTGGTTAGTTTTGAATGGTGCTTGTGAAACTTGGTGTCCTTCACGTGATGGACAACCTAGGTATCGTGTATGTTTTTTTAGATTCACATGTTTTTTTGAGATTTGAAAATCCTGATTGGTTTTTCTTGGTTCATGAAATTTTGTAGCCTTATGGAGTGAATTTTCCAGGAGCATCGTATAAGTTCACGATTCAAGATACGTTTGGAACAAGAAGGGCTACAGCAGGTTTGGATTTCTTTTTTCTTTCATTTCATTTCATTTCATTTCATTTCATTTCATTTCATTCTTGTTCATCAAATTTCTTTAAGTGATTTCATAAATGGAGTTTCTGATTTGATGAACCTTTTTTTTGGTTTTGGTTTTTTTGCTTTGATTTTATCGAACAAAGTTGGACAAATCCCATTTCATTCATACCCATCACCTACTACACCATACAGTTTTTTCGGATTAGGAAGAACGAATAATTATGTCGAAAGTTTGTTTGTAGGAAGTACAAGAACCTCAACATTGAACAAAGAGGGAGAGAAAGGAATGATTAAGATTGAAGGAGTCTTACCCAATTCGGAATTAGTGGTCAATCCATTTGGAATCGAATGGTTAAAGGAAGTTTATCTTTTGCCGGGTGATTGGATTCCTTGGGTGATGATCAGTTTGATGGTCTTGATCTTTTTGTTGGGTTTGATTGTGGGAGTTTTACATTTTCATGAAAAGGTTTGGAAGGCTTTTTTTGGTTTTTGAAGAGAAAAAGTTTGGTTTAATGACTTTTTTTGGTTTGGTTAATTGTAGAGAGATGATGAAAGGGAAAGAAGGAAGAAAGCTCATAAGATCAAGTTAGTGTTTCTTTTTTATTTTTTATTTTTTGATTTGATTGAATCATTTTGGGAAAGAAAAAATGAAATTAATGAATGAATGATTCTTTTTTTGGGTTTTTGTTTTTGATTGAATGATAGTTTTGATGCTTTGTGATGTGGGATTCTTGAAGATCAAAAACGTACATACTGTTGTTTATTTTTTTATAAAATTAAATGGTTGTGGTTTAGATTTTTTTTTTTGAAAAAAATGTCAACAAAAAATGTAATGATATTTTATTAAATCATAACTTTTTCAAAATTTCTTTCTTCTTTTTGTAAATTATAGATACATATATGGGTTTTCTTTGGTGGGTTCTTTTTGGTGGGGTTTCTAATTGAAGAAATTATGATTTTTTTTCTAAGATACAGTCAAACCTGTCTTAAGACATACCCCTTGGTCCGACCAATTTGGCATGCCTTATAGCAGGTTATGTCATATGGCAGAGTACTGCCATATGGCATATGTAATTGTATGCCTTTCAAATTATCTCTATAATCACATATTTTCATGTCATAAGACAGGGTTTTTCTGACAGCACAGCTTTTGAGTACACCTAATTGCTCCATTTCATGATACTTGAATGGGAATGGGATCAAGGGCACAAAAGATGGATCAAATAAAGTACCCATAACATATGTATTTACACACTATGCACACTTTTTGGGGTATTTTATGCCTTAATATCATACTAATGTCCAAAAAAAAGTATGCCATAAGGCATTAGACAGAGAAGGCATAATTTGGCCCTGACCATGCTTGTACAGGCCAAAATGTATGCAATTTGGCAGGTTAAGCCAATATACAGGTATGCCATACAACAGGCTTGACTGTATTAAGAAAATGGTGTATTTGTCTTTTTTAAAGAAGATTTGGAAATAATCTTTGGTGAACTTTGGATTTTGAATTTTATCATATAAAACAGTTTAATCCTTTTTGAAAAAAAATGCGATGGTTTTATCCTTTGATCTAATTTAATGAAGGAAGAATTGTTGAAATGTGACAAAACAAGTATCAAATCATATTTTAAAAATCTTTTAATCAAGTCATCAAATCTGAATGGATGAATTAACCCAAGAAACCAAACTGGTGATTTCAGATCAATGAAACCAAGGAAATTATCAAGCTTTATTAAAAGAAAAAATGGCACCAACTGGTCTTCTTCTGCCAAAGAAGAGAAGCTTACCAAAGCTTGGATCCATGTTAGCCAGCAACCTGAGTTTGGCACAGATCAGTGTGGCAAAGTTTTTTTTGTCAACAGTTCACTGATTGACTTAATCCCATTGAATCATTTGAAGATCAAGACATTAAATTGGTCTAAATCAAGTGATGAAGTTGATTGATGTATTAAATCTTGTAGACAGTCCTGTTTGAATACCCATGCTCAAATCTTCAGGCATGTCTTTTCAGATCAAACAAAACTCTCCCAGCAGAACTGTTCATACAATCTTTCAATCAAGATCTACAACTAAATGACTCCTACAAGCTTAGCTCACTTCCAATCCCTCCCAGATTGGAGGATTCTTCCTCTTGCACCCAAGTGGATCATTCCACAAGCTCCTCCTGGCCCTTTTGCAATGGCTATGACAGCTGTAACCTCTAGCAATGCTGCCTTAGATTTCACCGCTCCCAGCACCCCTCTTTCTTGTACATTGCCTTGCCTGATTGGAACTAAACAAGCCAAACACAAGTGTTAGGACAATGCAAAGGCAGAACACATTGAAGCAGCTCAAGATGAACAAATCAAATGGAGTGATGAATTGGCTGAAGATCGCCACTAGGACTAGTAACAATTAACATTAACATCCAGTCTAAATGTCTGCAGAAGATTTTATATTGGATGTGTAGATCACTCAGCAAGTCTTGTCTCAAAAGTGATTCCAAAAGATAATATCAGCACATCAATTCAATGTAGATCAAAAATCAAAGAAAAGAAGCTTATCTTCTGAAATATCCCACATTCAACCAAGAGGTTGACCATTGGTTCCGCAAACCATGGCCCATGGTGATGCCAAGCCACTACCTTCATGGTGAGGTGTTGCACTTGATAGGTCCCATTTTTGTCAACCTATGTCACAGTGGCTCCAATGAAGGCATGTCAGTTGCCTTTTGTTGTCCAGGCGTTGTGGATCAAGTTGAGTTTCAATTTGATACCCTATGTTAATTGTTGCATTGTGAGATGTTCATCATATTGTTGGTTGAAATTGATCAGAAAAGACTTGTTCCTTCAAATAAACATTGATACCATTTGCCTCATCAGCAGCCCACCAATGTCCATGAAGACTGGTGTCCTTTCAAAGGTACTGCACCATTCCCCAAAGGATAGGATTCTCCAAGCAACTCCAGGGTTGAGTGTATTGAATGTGCCAAATAGTGGCCATTTGATTGAGTTTTGCATTATTGAAGCCAACATTAGGTGTGGAAACAACAAACAAACTCAAGGGTCCAGTTCCCTTCTTTGCTGCTGCCTTGGCTTTGCAAATTTTGGCAACAGAAGGTGGAATACCTAGACTAGGTTTTTGGGCTTTAGCTTTGAGTCAACCATCACATCCCTTGTCTGACCAGCCATCTTGAGTGTATCTGTCTTGGTGGGATTTGAGGTTGCCTGTCATATTTGTGTAACTTTATAACCCTGACAGGGTTGTGTTTGTCCCCATGACAGAATTGGCAGGGGTAGGACTCAGAGAGCAGTGGCTTTGATTAATTGTGTGCAAAAGAGGTATTATAAAAGATATAAATCCAGAAGTAACAGAGAAAAGAAAAGGAGAAGACAGTAATGACTCACAGCCAGGCCTTCATGGAAAGGAAGGCCATAATAAGCCCTAAGCTGATTCATATTGGTTTGGGTGTCATTGGGCTTCTGCGTCTTTGCAGCTATAGTGTGGTCCTTGTCACCTGAATTGGCTCACAAGATGCCCTGGTTCACATTCTTGGAGACAGACTGGGAATCAGAAATGGGATAGATAGGCAGGTTTGATGTATTTATAACCAGGATGGAGAGGAATCAAGTACATGCCCTATTTGCCTTCAAAGAACCTTCTTTGGTGGTTTTCTTCTTGAAAGCCTTCTTCTGTTTTTTCTGTGTCCTTGCAACTGAAGTACATTCTTCAGACAACTCTCCAATTACAACCTCCTCAACTTTGTCGGTACACTTTTGTTTTTTACTTCCTACCACAGGCTCATTGTCAGAAGTGTTGGCTACAATGTGAGAGGTCTGATTATGCTTGTTTTTCAATGCAATGTGAACTGATTGTACTGATGTTTTGCTGTCAATTTAGAGGCGTTGACAAGAGTCTGAGCCAGTTTGGATCATACTGGGAGAGGTGACTTGCCTGCGGCATCACACAGGTTGTTTGGAGGTAACTGAGGATATATTGAAAATTGAGGAATATGATGATAAGGAAAATACAGGTTGGTTGTGGCAGATAAGAAATTAAAAAATAGGTAAGTGAAGTGTTGTTGGAAGTGATAATTGGGTGAAACAGTTGAGAATAGGAGGACGGAAATTTGACCCACAACAGTCCAAATATAAGTATTGCCACTCAACCGCTTGGACTAACGCTGCTTGTTGTTGCCTTCTCATAGACCCCATCAGGAAGGTGAGAGTCCACATTGTTTAGCCAGTGCTGAAAGCAGGGTGGATGGAGCTATCTTGGGTGATTGACAAGGGATGTTGTTGCTCAATCGGTCACCCTTGCTTGAATATGCTGAAATGGGAAATTTGGCCCACAACAGCCGCAACTTTAGAGGTCCTGGGTGTTACTATAGGCGTTAACAATGCAGGTCATCAAAAGATGGTTTCCCTGGGCTCTGTGGCGGTGCGGACCAGGGAGCTATGAGAAACTGCAACATTTGCTGTGTTGCTTGACAAAACAACCACAACGCACTGTCCCGCATCAGTCAAGATGTGTTGCTGACCCGGTGTTGATATGGGTATAGACAAGTACCCTACCCATAGTTTTCTATGCACCCACTACTTTTTGATACCCCTTAAAAAAATCATTTGGTGTAGTGTTATTCATTCAAGAAATTTGGGTCCTGCTTGTTTTTTTTTTGTTTTTGGTAATCCTTCACAGAGCCTCAAAATGAACCTGGCAAAGCCCCAGGAAGACTGATTTTTTCAAAAAACTTCTTCCTAGGATACATCCCACATACTTTGTTTGAATATTCAAGGGGTTACAATGGGGCAAAAACTACAGCTGGATGACATAAACTGGTACACCCCTATTTGACACAAGTATGAGAATCCTGTCAAGTAATTGAGTATGCAACAAAACAACTGGGGCGCGATGATGGCCATGGCGGGCAAGAAACAATGGTGGTGATCTTGTAAATTGCTCAGGAAAATGCGTAAAAAAGCCTTCTGGAGTAAAGAGTGCTTTTGTATACACGCTACAAGATCAGAATTTAAATTCACCCGGAAGCCCACCTTGTCACACAAGTTGATTGAATTCAAATCTATGTACCAACAACATCCTGGCTCTGGTAAATCATTGTTGCATGGCTTACAGGTTGTATCATCGCCAGTATAACTTGTGTTATGTAGTAGGATTTGTTTTTGACAAACAACCACCAGAAGCATCATTTATATCAGCTAGAGAGTTTGCATAATTAAAGAATAGAGTGACAATAATCTAAAACTATTGCTCATAGTCATTACTTACCGTGGTTTTGATCTCTTTTCCAAGATCGGATTCAACCCTACAGATTGTCTGACTTCACGAGTCACTCTACGTACCATTGGCTGTTAGAGCATCCACAGCCGTGTGGCGTAAACCGTGTCGTACGGAAATTTAGGGCAAAAACATCCACAGCTGATGCCCTAAATTGTCACGTAGCTCAGGGAATTTCCTCCGTGCGAGCCAAAATAGAAGAAATTTGTTCTTCCCTAAATTCATCTGTACCTCGCTCTTCCCATAAAACTCTCACTTCCTCGCCGACACTCCCTGAAAATCATCCCCCTTGATGATCAATAACCCATAACTCACCTTGCCAAATATGCTTCAAGCCGTACTGTACGGAACCACGGCTGTGCATCAGTTAAAAATCATGCCTCAAACACTTCCACAAACGATCCGTGCGACCCTCCGTACAATACCGATTTACGGCACAGCTGTGGATGCTCTTAGGATACCATTGAGTCAAAGGTTATTTTGAGAAAATTGGAACAAGAAGTCAAGACTTTACTCACGTTTGACCATCTTGGAGAGACTTGGCGGAGATTACAACTGTTAGAATTGACAAGGATTTAGTACAAATAGATCAAAGGATCAGTGAGTATGAACATCACTGACCTGCTAGCACAGCAAGGATGATGACCTTGAAGAAAAACATGAGAATTGATTGATTGTAGAAGAGATAAGAGAAAGTTGATGGTTCAAGGAGTCAAAGATCTTGAGGAAATGCAAAAATCAAAAGTGAACCTCAATTCCTTTTGAGCTTGCTGCTAGACTTTTGAAAACCTACATGAAATCACATACGAAAAATGTGGAATTGGCAATGTTTGTACTATAGCAGCCACAGCATTATTCTATATCTTTCTATATACAACGTACATATCAATTGTCCCGGATAATTAGTTGATGGGGACCATATGTAGAATCATCAATTGGAATCCTTGTTGTTTGTACAACTAAGAGCATCCACAATGGTCCACCTACTTTGCGGGCCCCCAGCGATGTAGGGGGTCAAAACGCAAAAAAGCATTCCAACGGAGCTCACACAATCGGGGGTGAGACGTCGGGGGCCTCCAGATTTCCATCCAATTCCGGACCCCCCACATCTGCAAGGTCTATAGGGGCTCCCAATATCACGTGCCACTGCTTCCACGTGACAGATATAGTCACGTCTCAAACCACACTCGAAACAAGATGATATGGTACAAGCATACCATATCACTCAATTGAGTTCTGGCCCCTGACTTCAAGTGCACCGCTGTGGACACCTGTTTTTTTGACCCCCTACATCCACAAAATCGGGATCGGGGGTCTGTTCCAGGGCCCTCAAAGCAGGTGGACTGTTGTGGATGCTCTAACACCCACACTGCTTGTTGCACACTCCGATGCGCAGCAAGGTGGCAAAGACGCGTAGCGTGGGGCTTATTTACAGGAGTTTAGCAAATATTGTTTTTACATTTCAACAAAAGAAATACACCAACAGACTGACAGCTAGGGCAACATAAACCAGAAGATATCTTTGATTGACACCCAAGATTAATGATGAAAGGATGGTATGTACATAGATTGTGTTACCTCAACCCTCAACAGCAGCTGTATCAGTCTCTTAAGATCCATTCAACATAATTTTTTTTGAATTTACAAAGGGTGACAATGTGGTACTCAAAGCAAGTATGTAGGCGTACATACTTTATGCTACACACTTTTTTTTGGCGGGGAAAAAAACAAAAATATACTTTTGGTCTTGTTTTCCCCGCCAAAAAAAGTATGTAGCAAAAAGTATGTACATGTACATACTTGCTTTGAGTACCCTAAATGACACAGAATCAGCCGTAAGCTAGCATAGCCCTAATGACATGATGAGGAGACCCCTCTCAGATACATACCAGGTTACTCTGAGTCTCACCTTCTGGTAATAGTATTCCCAAAATTTGGATATATCAAGATTATGCACCTGGTATGACGATTCATATCAAAGGGTCTATCATATCCAAAAAAACTCAATCAAATTGTTAAATATAAACTTTAATCAACAATCAAACTTGTTCCTCAAGTTGCACAAGAGCAGTCAGTAGGACAAGTTTATTTTTCATTGAGATTTTTATCTTGGTAGAAGAAAAGAATTACGAGTTCATAGATCCATTTTGAACTTCATTCAAGATCCGTTTCCTATCAATAGGCTTCAAAATCAAATCACTTGAAAATAAAGCAGCGGTACCCAACCCATTTGAATTATCAATATACTTCATCTCATTCTCATTTGCTTGAATTGTCAATCTTTCTGTCCAACCTTTTCTCATCAATTGATATAAATTAACCAATTAAGTTACACCTCCAACCAATTCACAAAAATCAGTGCATTTTTGATTTCTTTAAATTGACTTTTAAGCTGTAAATCCAGTCCACTCCAATAAAGAACCAAAAGACTAAATTTGTAAAATGATCCTCTTCATATTGACTTGCCATCTCCAATCCAACACCTTTCATCATGCGGAGAACACCACTACGGTTGAATTAAAAATTGAAATGAAAAACTGTGTTACTTGAATATATCTTCCTCCCAACACCAGAATGTATATTTCCACACAGAGACTGCATGTTTTAAAAAGTCAATCCCGTTGATTGATATACGTTGATGATGATATGTACTACTAGTACTACTGACTTCATTTTATCCCACCAAAATTTATGTGTACCAAGGTTGATCTTGACAACTTTTCCTTGTTCTTGAGCTTACTAAAGAATAATGTTTGAGATTTTCAAAATTGCTTTGTTGATATCTTCCTTTGTTGAGTGTACTGGTGGGATGAGGGCCATTTTTGATCAAATTTTGCTGTGAAGAAGCAAAACATCAATTTCAGTTAGCTTGCAAAATACATGGGAAGATATGGGTGGGATAATATTGAGGATTATGAAAACAGCTACTGGAAGGTGGTCTGATGTCACATCATCTTTCAGTATCTTACAGTTCATGTTTTTCCAACTAGTTCAAATCAGGTCTATGGTGGTTCATTTGGTACTTTGTGAGTCCCTAGCGGGATCAGCTTTTGGTGAGACAAGCATGAAGCCTTGAGATCAAAGGAAATTGCTTAGATTTTTTGTTTGCAAGTCCATCTTTGAGTAGGACAGGGGGGTTCCAGCTGCTGTGGTGGTGGTAGGAATTGGTAGTGAGAAGTGTTGTGAGGTGACAGTTCTGGTAAAAAAATGCTATCTTTCTAATGTTGCCAGTCCACAAAGTGAGTTTGGAAGATTGGACCATGAGGTTTTTTTTTGTTGTGTATTTGGGTATTTGATTTCAACTGCTAGTATGATATCTGAGTAACTTGATAAGATTGTGATTTGAAATGTCTTGAGGAGTTTGGATACATAGATTACAACACTGGGTCTTTATTCCCAAGTGGTTGGGTTGTAATCATATGCTGAGATTGTATGCCAGGATGTGTGTGAAGGGAATGAAGGGGTGTGAGTGTAGAACCAAGGTTCTTGTAGAGTCAATACAGTGGATTCTGCTTTTGTAAGTGCTTCTTGGGTGATAGGAAGAGATTTACAACAATCAAAATGAAAAAAGTTGTATGGTTTAAAGAGGCCGGAAGGTTGAGTGAATCTTCATCTGATATAAGATTATCATCTAGGAAATATATGTGTGGTGGTAAGGGGGGACTCTCGGGTGTTTGGGTGTTTGTATTATAATTCATTATCTTCTTTTTGATGTAGTGTTATCTGGAATCTTGTGTTTTGAAGAGGGGAATGGAGACCTTTAGGTGAGTGAGTGTAATTAGGTAGAAATCTGTGTACCTCATCTTTTGATCTTTGTCTGTCAAAAATGACACAATGTGCACAATTTATGTCAGCTTTGTTGTTGGCACACACTTTTGTATTATGGGGAACATAAGTATACAAAACTACAAACTGGGTTCCACAAATGATGCGGAACTCGGATTCAACAAGTAGGGAGTTTTCTTGGCTCCAGCATGAGAGATGGCTGTGCCACAGTCATGTCTGTTGTGTGACCACAACACAAATTGCCAAAAAAAGTACAACCATAAAAACCGGCTGGCTATATCAACTTGAAAAGCCATCTATGGCACAAACCACCTTCAATTATGCCAAAAATACACTTTTAGCACCTACTGCCCCTTGGGGCATGTGGTTTGGGGTCACCAAATTTCAACTTTTGCAGGGCATGCATGGTTGAGACTAGGTGATAACAACTGTATGTTGAACATTGAGACGTAATAACAAAGTTTTTTCATACCTTGAAGAAGATTAAACCTCAAAGGTACCACTAAAACCAAAAAAACAGGTTTAGATCCAGTTCAAAACCCAAATTTGAACTTTTTCATTTTTTCTCCATGTCCAACATACAATGAACTGGTTGTATTTGAATACAAAAGGATTCAAAGGGATCTTAAATCATATTTGCAGTCCTATTGCCTCAAGGTTCAGTAGATATTGGTTTGAACTTTATACATAACTCACTCTGCTAGTTAATCACAATTAGCAATAAGAAAACTTGTTCTATTTCCTGGTAAGTTTAATACCACTTCTTTATGAATAATTCAAATTAAGGATTATCTCTCAACACACTATCCAATGTTGCAATGCATTTTTTGGTTTCAACTTGTTGCTGTGTGACTCAGACTGCCAGATTGAATGAAAGTTTTGGAATTTTATTGGCATGACTCATTTTCAGCCCTCAACACGAGAAGTCGAAGGGAAAACTTCATTTAGATTCTTTCAATGACTCATTTTATGATTTACCAAACAAGTTTTGATATCACTTCACCAAAAACCATAATTCCACAAAAAACATACAACCTTTTTTTGCATATCTTTTAAGCTACAAGCGCTTAGAAATTCTATTTTTTTATCAAAGATGAAATTTGAATACTTTTCGTTACTTTTTTTCAAGCTTTTACAGCAGATCGATTCACATTAGCCACCCAAACTGGTTTCTTTTCTTGATTAGAAGTTTCCGTTTCTGTGTTGACCACAGTAGTTGTTGCAGTTGTTGATGCTTTACCCATGATCGGTAATGGTCTAGATTGAAGTTGTTCTAACATCACTCTGGCTTTATCTCCGTGTCTGATAAAGTATTCATTAAATCTTCTTCCAGGTTTGGTTTCTGCAATTTCCACAATGTCCTATGATCACATACATACGTGAGATGAGTGATGAAATCGAATATACAGCTGAACAAAGATAAAAGTTGAACACTTACATCATCAATACCAAAATCTAAATCACCTAAAGCGACCTCCTTTCCCTCCAATAAACCACCATCACCATCCGAACGTCTAAGACTGCGCATCGATCCTTTGAGTAACATCAGGCTTTCCAAAACCTCTTCTTCATCTACACCCAAAAATCCAGCAAGTTTAGAAACACCAAGAGTAGTATACAACTTCAAAAAGCTGCGTAAACTAGGAGCCGGGAGTTGAGTTTTAATATCAGCTAAAAACAGATTAAGATGATGTGTGGAAGGACTTTCACTTGGACTACTACTAGCCACATATTGCGGTAAAAGTTCAGGTCGATCATATGGTGGTGATGATAAGGATAAAAATTTAGGTGATGCATACGCAAATAATTCTTCAAATGATTTTAATGAATCTGGACCACCTTTAATCATCTTTCCATATTGTTCTGAATACTTTTCACGCATTGTTGCTGCAATACTTTCATCTATCTTACTTGGGTTCAAGGCTTGACACATTGCTAGTAAGGCATACATTCGATCACCTTGTTTATTAATCTGTAGAAATGTAAAACTTAATGAGATCTCGGTGAAAGGAATCAACAATGAAAACCACCACTACTCACGGCATCAAATTGGTAACCTCGGGTGTGATAACCTTTAAGACGTTGAAGGAAGTATAAGATATGTGTCAGGGCTCGAATGGCGTCCGGGTAACGTCGTAACATGATGTAACTGAAGGCGACATAGTAATAGACCGTAACATGCGCTGCGTTCACGCGAGTGTAAAGCGCTTTCTTGTTCATCTCGATATCGTCCATCATCTTCAACGCAAGGGTATAATCTCCAAGTAGAACATGTACACGTAGAAGACCGATGATTGAGAAATACCCTAACATTCGGTACAAGGGACGGGATCCCCATTCACCGCCAACCTCACTGTAAACAACATAATCAGTATCAGTAAGAGATAGAAAGTGCAACGTGACTTACTCTGGATCTTGGCCGTTCTTGGTGGCCACTAATTGCTCTTGGATCTTAGATTTAGTGATAAGTGAATATAACACGTTAAGGACACTGTAACAAGACCAAACCTGATTTAAAGAAAGAAAAGTCACAGTGAGCAGCGTGAATGACGAAAGGACTAATATGAACACAAACCTGAGGGTTCTCAGCAATCAATTGAATCTCTTCATCGGATTTCTTGCCCATTCTACCTTTCCAAGTAGTGAAAGAAGCAAATTGATAAATGAATTCATCAATAATATCCCAAAGCCATTGCACCGGTAAATCTAATGGAACGGGTCCCTCAGAGTTTAAGATATAATTGAAGATCGAACAGTAGTTCTCGTATGAATGGAATCGATCATCTATATCAGGTTGTAAACGAGAGTAAACATGACGGTAGTAAAGTTCTTTGTAGAACAATAAAAACACATCATCTGAAAAGAAAAATAAAAAACGGACGTCTTGTTAGTTTTTCAAAGTTTGAACGGTCTATGTAATGAACACTTACCATTGTTGACTAAAGGTGCAATAATCTCGGCTTCTGGCCACTCCGCCTTTTGATAAAACTTTTCGGTCAATCGATTCCAACCTCCTTCATAGGCAGCCAAGATCTCGTTCGGATTGGCCGAAAGAAGTGTGTTATGAAGATATATAACATACTAATCGAACAGAATTTAAGTTTCTCGATTAATGTGTTTTTCGAAAAGCTTGTATGCGTGGCGTGCTTACCTTTCGGACAGGTTCGGGGACGGAAGCAAGAGCCATAGCAGCTTCTTGTGCTTGTTGTTGTGCCATTGCAGCAGCTTGAGCAAGTAAGAACTGTTGTTGTTGTTGTTGAATGAATAAATCTAATTGCAACGTGTCATTTTCGATTTAGTTATCTTTTCATGATTCGATCGATTCTATTGGAAAATATAATTTCAATAAAGCTTACCATTATAACCTTCACCATATCCTTCTTGACGCATGCCTAAGGGTATTTGACCATCTCCGACCTATTAGAAAATCGATAAATTTTGAGATAAGTGATTGCTAGTGACACGAAAGGAGGGTATCGATCACTCAACTCCTTGCTCGTAAAAGTCATCCTCTTCATCGGAGTAATATTGACGCTCGAGAGCAGCAGGTGCAGGATAATTTGACATCTTTTTTGATTTAAGTTAATCCAAAGAAAGTTGACTCGATGATAAAATTGTGGTTTTATTTGACGAAGGAAAGCAGTGGCAGTCTTGTTCGCTCGGGGCTTAACCTCGGTGTCTTTCCAGCATTTTCAATTTCGGGGCGTCTGTAAAAATTTGACATGATTCACCAAACGGTACAGGCGCAGGCCGCAGCAGGTCAAATATGGCAATTGTTGCAATGTCGATCAAAGAGTCTCTTGTTTTTCAAAAGCATGTCCACTTGAGGCAATTTCTTGATCAGAGCTGGATCAAGACTCACTGCATAGGGTGTGACCAGCAATCCAGTCTCTCAAAGAGTTCAGATGCTTGCAAATTTTGTCCAGTTTCTTTTGAGCATATGATAAGAACATTACTCGTGTTTGAGGCTGTGGCCCGGACCCGGTACCGCCAGGCCTAAAAGGCCTGGACCTTTCTGGAAGGCCGCGAGATCTGCCCTGACGCACATGGTTCAAAGTGATCCTGCTCTTTTTTTGCCGGATCAACAGAATCCTTCTTTCTAAATTTCCTCCTATAGCTCTTTTCATTTTATGTGCCAGCTCATATAGCTTCTATGTAGCACCTCATACACATAAACTTGCAACAAAAGGCAAAATTATTCCCTTATTGCCCCTTTGTGTCACCTATGATCAGCTTGGGGTATGCCTTGGTTGGCCCTGAACACTTTATGGATCCCCTTGGGTCTACCCAGGGTTGGCAAAGGCCAGCCACAGTCCCTTATGGACATGTCACAGCTCTACTTATGTATCAAAAAGTGAATTGAACTGGTTTTTATCAATTGTGTTCATAATATACTGATCATACTGGGAAGTATTGAAGACTGGTACTGTGGATTTTACAAAGCTGTCCAAAAACTCTGCGCTAAACTTCTCTACTTTTTCATGAAAAGACAACCAGGCTTTTTGGACCAAAAGTATGCCTGTTTTCCAGATGTAGTTGATGAATTGATACTATACTGGGTGGAGCTTCTTACTTGTGGCAAACAAAGTTACACGGTGAAGTGTGATCTTTTTCAAATATGATGCATTGTGAACACATCTTTATTGTTATTGGTCTATGATTGTCTCCTTATTTGTCTTTGTGTTTATTTTGTATTTCAATATTTGAGTTTGTGCTGTTCTTTTATTCCCATGTGTGGGTTTTAGTTCTTAGCTTTATGTGAATGTGTCTTGATTATCTGTAATTGATTCAGAGCTGAGTATAGTATTGTACAGTCAAAACTATACTATACCCGACTATACCTGTACTGATTCAGTATGGTGGCACCCTTGACCATTGCACATATGTTTTATTAAAGTGTCCAGTCATGTAGATTGACATGACGGGTGAGCAGGTTGGTTGAGAGACTTTTAGGGGAGGCACTGACAGATCTCAAGCCAACAATGTTCATTAGTGTGTAAGTCCCTTGTTTGACCGGGCTGCTACACCTTGAAAGTGCTACATGGGACTTGGTTATGTTTGTGTGTAATCCAAGTATCTCTTAATAGTGAGAAATGAGTTGTGGGTGTCAGTTTTATATAACTCTCTCATTCACAGTGCTTGGCACCCACAAAGCATGTTACATCTTCTTCTGTGATCTTAGCAGTACAATAGGTACACTGAGTAGTACAGTCTGTACAACAGTGTTTTACTCAAGCATACATATTTTGAAAGAAATTCACAGCTGGCCCTAATTCAAAATGAAACACTTCAGTCAATATTTATAAGCCAATTGTTTCTGCAAAGAATATGAGCCAGATTTCTCCACAAAGAAGGAGTCAGATAAGAAACCTTCCATACAATCTGATGGGAATTTTACAACCACAACACTTGAGTTACTATGACATCAAACTTCAAATTTCTTGGAGCTCTCCATTTGCTTTGTCTTTCCTTACTGTCCTTCCAAATGGATCAAACATCAATCCATGAATTTCATCAAATCCAATCAGCAGAAGTTCCAGATTTGGAGTTATCACTCAGTCTTCTGCCTGCAAAACAGGAGAGCACAAGAGACAGTCATTTTCAAACAATTCATGATTCTGAAGGAATATCGGATCAAGACTTGTGGATGCTTAAGCAGGTAAAGGAAGAAGACATGCATGATCCATTTGATATGCCAAACCAACCATCAAACTATTTTGATCATGGTTCCATTTCAAGACCTTGCACAGGGAGTTCAAAAACCTCATGGTTGACTCTGATTCCTGGAAATTCTGACAAGAGATCAGTCCATCTCTCAAGGACGGATTTGATCAAGATAAATTCACATGGCCTTGGAACAAGCCAACAAGTGAAATCCCCAAAACCCTGGTTAACTCTTGGAAATGAAAGTACTCTTTCCGAAAAGAATGCTGGTATGTCTCACTCTTAGAAAGAACATCAGTTAGTGAGAGTTTTACGCCTGCTGAAAGATCTTGCATTACTGTAGGTATAGACATTCCAGATACTGATGTTCATAACACCATCTATGCTACTGGAGTCACTTGCAACAACAACATACAAACATCCCCCCCAAGAGAATCCACGGAAACAATCATTGACCATCCCCTAGATAATATAAGCCTTGAAGTTCCTCAGTCTGGATCTTCTACCAGTATGAAGAGACATATTTTTCAAGAATTTGGTAACCCCTCCCACAATGTGATAGATTCTCACCAAGAATATTCTATCAGAGATCAGCAGGAGCCTCATCCAGTGCAGAAAGATGAATCCTTGAGGAATTCCAAAAGACTGAGGGTGATTGCCACCCAGAAACAGAAAGAGCCACATACATATGTACAAGGCTTACAAGATGATCAAGATGTGGAAGGATTTGATGATGAAAGACTTGGGATCTTCAAATCTCATAAAAAAACCAAGTTCTGTTCATCACAAAAGGGGATTGGGGAATCATCACAATCACCAATCATTCCTTCAGACTTTATTTTGGTGGACACAATCAAAGAGATTTCAACAACCCACAATCTACTTCCCCAAAAAATACAGAATGATATAAGTATCTGGACCTTCAAACTGGAGAAAAATGTACTTTTAATAATGAAACAAAATCAAAATGTTTTTGGGGAAGAAACATACCCATTCTTAGAAGCTGCAGTTTCCAGGGCTGGTGTAGTAGCAAATTGCTTTCTGACATGCATAAAGCTACTGCATGAGGACCAACAGCATGATGTACAAGGATTCAAGGATTATATATTAGAAGATGGGTGGAGATTCATTCAAAGGCTCTTCAATCAATGGGTCCTGATGGACTGGAGTAATTTGAGGGCAACAAAAAGGCGTGAACATATTGATGATCTTCAACCTCATGTGCTTTACAATTATTTGGGCACCTTGAAGGCAAACCGTTTCACAATTGGGTACATGTGGGTCTTTTGGAAGAGGTGGTACAGAGAATCAACTTATCCCCAGAAGAGATTACTTGCCACTAAAAATTGTTTTGTTAAGCATATACAATATTCAATCTTACATCATGGATTCATTGACTTCCCAATAGATCCGGAGGCAATTTTGCAAAGCTTCAAACCAATAGACAGAATTGAGGTTCATAAACATATGCTAAAAGAGCACAGCCTCCAATTTAACCGACTCAAGGATTCTTATCCCAAATCAGTGATAGATTATGTTCATCTGGTGTACATGGTACATCATGTAGGTACACTTGAGCTTGAACTTTTGGAACATCATGAACCAGTGGTAGAATGGCTTGAAGGGCTACTTCAACATCTTCAAGAAGAGATCACCAAACAAGGTCTGAATAATGAAGAAAGAGTGAAATCAATATCTCAATGTGTAAGAGCTACCTACAGCAGGCTTATTCCAGCATTCTTTGGAGCTATAAAATTGATGGATCAGTCTGAATCTCTGGTTTCTGTGAAGGAGAAGGATGTTACTATTTCCAATGCATGGACATTCCTGAAAGCACATCTAGACCAATGGAGAAAGAGTAATATGTGTAATATCTTCAATTGTGGAAACATGGAAAATATCCCAGGGTATCATTGCTCAGGAGATAGCCACACTCTGTTTAAAGCAATGCTCAAACTCAAGAGTAATTTCCGGATTCCGTTTGGTATGATTACCAGGCTTTCTTACCTCTACCACTCATCTCTCAGTGATGTTACTGGACCAAGAGATTATAAAACTCACCATTCTCAGCTCAAGTGTAGAATGACTACCGTTTTTCTGGATCTTCAGAGACAAGTTACAATAACATGAAGCCTTATGGTCAGAAAAAATACCTCCAATCACAGCCCCCAATTCAGAGTCATTGGCAAGCCAGTACATCCTGGCAACTTGAGACGTTTTTGAATTGGATTTGAATTGGATTTCAAATGGATGTCACCCATTTATCAAGAAGTTATGTATTGAGATACCATTAAAATTGAGATGATGTCATATTTCATCATAGATCTGTACAAAACCACTCCTGTTTTTCCCCACCAAGAATATATAGTCTATTGACCTTCATCATGTAAATTGACTGAGTTATTGAGGTGTGAAAAAAAATCATGGATAAATAAACTATTTTTGTCCTATACTTGAGACTTAAATCTAGAATATATCCCAGCTTTATCAACATACATAGAAATCAAATCTGGTATTCCTTTCCTCAATATATTTCTCCACACTTTTGTCCCCCATATCCTTTCTCTATGTGCAGTATTTCTGTACGTGATTGCTGATTGTATATGGAAGTTGGATTTTCTGAACTTCTTTGCCCTTGAGGCAAATTGTGAGGAAACATATGGCAATAATCATGTTTGAACTGATTTATATACATGTAAATAGTACTCTCCAAAGGTTTCTGCAATAAATCTCTCCGTACTCTTCCTAGATCCAATAAATCAAGAAAAAATTGACTGCTCATGTACAATCTACAATTACATATGGGGTGGGTGAATCTTACACAAGGCCAATGTGAATTTTACGCTGGGACTGTTTGCACCAAGTTTGCTCAGTGTAAAGGACACTATCCTGTGTAAAATTGAAGATCATGCCTGGGCCCAAATTTGTACACTGAATTTGTTTACATAGCATTTTTCAGTGTAAAAATAAACTTCACAGCCGGGACCATATTTTTAGATACTTTACACCAATCAAGAAAGTGTAGAATTTAGAAATCAAAAACAGGTCACCTCCAAATTGGAGATAAGCAACCTCTGGTGGGATACTTGGCTCCTTTTAACTCACAGTGTGTTCAGGATGGTGCTCATTCACAACCAAGAATGTGTGGTGGGAAGAGTGGCTCAACATGTGGCCAACACCTCACACAGCTGGCACATTTTTTACGCTGGGCTCAAAGTGTCTCGCTGTGGGATCTCTCTCTATGTTGTGGCTACATTAAAAAGGCACAGTCAAGTTTCCTCAAAACACAACACATCTACAAACACTAAAAATCTTACTCCAAATGAAAGACAAATAAACAAATCCCCAGTCATTCCAAGAATGGTTCATTGGAGATTTGTGAAAATCTCATCAGTGCAGCAGATAAAAGAACTGTACCTGGTTTTGCCAGTTTGCTCTAGAATTAACTTAACCGGACCTGATATGTGCATTCAAATCCTGCTGGCTTATGAGGAAAGGTTGTTCTGCGGCTAGCCATGGAAGCCAAACAACAACCATAGAGGATTTAGCCAATGTATTCCAAAAGATGTGAGAATGAATGGTCATAAGGACACAGGATCTTTATGGGAGGAATCTCTTCCCCAACAGTATGGGTTTTGCATGGGAGAGGATTTTTGAGAAAATCAATAAACCTTTCTTGGAACAACTGGGAGGCAAAAGCCTTGTGAACTTCATTTATCAAAATCAATTTCATTGAATCTTTATCAGAATAAGATGGATAATCCAAGTTCAATCATTATCAATTTTGTTTAACTGATTATCTCATGAGAACTTCAAGTCGAAAAGATCATCTCTTCACGTAAGTTCTCTAAAACCATCCAAGAGGAAACAAACATTGATCTACACTAATCTTGATATCCTTGCAAAATCCAATTTACTAACACTTTACATTTCTATGACTTGTTATCTTCTCCATTGAATCTCAATATAAATTTAACTGAGTGACCAGAAACACAGTCTTTCAAAGGGTTCAAATTCTTGCAAATCTTACACAGCTTTTTTCAGACATGGGATGAAGAGATTTGCTCTTGCCATCATATAAAGAAGTAGAAACAAATCTGAAAAATGATTGCACTGGGTTTATGATGGATGAGATGTTGTAAATGACCCAGGCCTTTGAACAGGCAAATTTGCAGAACTTGTTATGCCCATCAAGATTGTATGAGCTCAGCACCAGACCCACTTGACCAAGCTTGAAGATATGGTTCTTGTTGTTAGCTCACAGATCATTTTTCAGGAAGGCTATCTGCTTGGAAATATATTGATAAGGATATATATAGTTAGCTCCAATGAGGGATATCAAAGGATCAGCTACAAGAAAGTCCTCAGAGTAAAGATTTGAATAACATTCAGATACACGTGTAGGCTTTTTTGATTGGATTGACTTGTAATAATGAGGCCTTTTTACATTATCATGAAAGAAACTTCAAATCATGGGAACAAATTCACAAGAAATGAAAGTTTCCTACATACAAAAAACCTTTATGTTGAGCAACTTTATTTTTTAGTATCATTCGGCTTATGGCAATTTTTAAAGGCGTCTAAAAGACTACTCCATACTGTTGATGGACTTTGAGCTGCATCTACTCCTACCCAAATGCCTTTCTTTTTGTAATAACCAGCAACTGCGTCTGTTTGCTTATGGTAACCACCTAATCGTTTTCTGAGCGTTTCAGCATTATCGTCAGATCGTTGAATTAGAGGCTCGCCTGTTTGGTCATCTTTCATGGGGACTTTTGGAGGACTGGAGCGCGTGGTATCACAGTGTACATCATAGATCAGTATAACGCTACTGAACCGCTTCTCAACGTAGCAATCGATCGGGCATGAAAAGACTCACTTGAATTCTAAATGGTAGGATCGACCACTTTGAGGATGAATCAATCGACCAGTGATACGGCTCACCAAAAGGTTGTCATCAATGACTAATTCAGCAGCAAGATCTAAATCTTGCTTCTTGGCTGCTAACATTTCATCAAGCTTTTCAGCCTGAGGAACTGTTCGTGGGAATCCATCTAATATAAAACTAAAATAAAATCAAGTTTCAAGGAATCAGCTTAATTTAAAAAAAGAGTACTAGGGCAAGAAAAGCGTAGTAAAATTGCCAAGATTTGTTTGAAACGAGAAAGGCTAAACTACTAACCCGTTACTACACTCTCGGTTGTTTTCTAGCTGATCTTTAATCATATTGACCATAATCTCATCGCTTACTAAACCTCCAGAATCCATGATCTTCTTTGCAGCTTGACCTAATTCCGTACCTTTTGAAACTTGTTCCCGAAGCATATCTCCAGTTGAGAGATGACAAACGCAGTATTTTTCTTTGATCTTTGGAGCCTGTGTACCTTTACCTACGATATGGAATGAGAGTATAGCAGAGTTCAGTTCGAGATTGTAGGAATGACAATTGAATGGATGCAAAAGTACCTGCGCCAGGAGGACCCATGAGGACTAGGCGAAGTTGCTCTGCGGGGGTCCTGGTAGTCGGTAAGAACAAGCCAAATTGTCAGAACAGATTTCCGTCGTCAAACCTGTCAAGAGATAAAATTCTCCCGCAACTTACGAGGTCATAGTCTGCTTAATAGATTGAACAACTTGCTCAGCTCCACCTGTGGCTTGCTTTTCCAAAGCATCGATCTATGAAGATGAGAAATGCGAAGTGATGAAAAATATAGGGGTCAGGATTGGACAAATGATCAGAATGAGAAAGTATAAAGACTTACTTTTGAAGATAGTTCAGAAACGAGTTGTTTCAAGTAACTGATCTCACTGCTTGAAGTACCAACTTGATTACCACTGATACTGCCAAACTTCTCGATCGCATGTTGTTGATCTGCTGGTAACTTCGAAGGTGGTAATTCAGAATCCTTCGTACCGCCGGTAGTAGTCGTGGCCTACGAAGTTTATATGAGGGAGACATCGACATTAGGAATTATAAGTCGAGTTAATTAGGAGTTGAAGCTGACTGACCATGATTCAAGATTTCCAGAAGCTAATCGATCAGTCACTCTGCTCAATCAACTCCACGCAACAGGGTTTCGTCTCACAATTTGTCGTTGTAGAACTGATCGGCTGGGATCGGGCTGTGACACTTCATGGACATTAGAAAAAACCACTGGTCAGAAACTATGTACTTAAGATTAGGTGGGCCTACCAATCCTTAATCGCTACATGCACGTCAGCCATAGTCACTGTTGCAGACTGGAAAACAAACTGTTCTCTTACACTCTCAATAAATGTCTTCAGCTCCAGGGGAATCAAATATTTTGGGAAGATTGAGTTTCATCTTTATGATGGTTCTGTGACATTTTCCAAGGAATCACAAATAATTGACCTTTGTGGGTGAAAAATAGTGGGTGGCAAGGGCATTTGGATAATTTATTGTGTGAAGAAGTCACTCTGAGTGTTTCATTTGCTAACGTAAAGATGAGAAACTCAAATGTGAGATTTCAAGAGGTTTGATGAGGAGTGAAGTAGACTGTAAATGGGTTTTCAGATCTGAGAAAATGAACTGTGATATAAAGCAAGGATGGACTCAGATAATTCATGTTTTCCTTCACAAAAGCAGCAGACTTCCACAAGACTATATACCCAGATTTTGTGTGTCACTTCCATTGCCTGATGAGGATCACAAAAGCTTGCTCAATCATTTCACTCACTAGTGTCTGGGAATATCACATGATCTGGGTCACAGTTGCATCAGTTGTATTGATCAAATTACAACCCAAAAGATAACTCCTGATAGCTCCATGGAATTTGACAATCACTTGACTTCAAGTTCAATGCAACACTGACTTGAAGTCATTCAAACGAAGATAATGAAACATCACCATTGCATTTATTCTTGGTTAATTTAGGAACTGTTACCAATGTGATTGAGAAGTTTGGTTCCAAGGAGTTTTGATAAGTGGATGTGATGGTTTAATTCATTGGTCCGTTGAGCCTATAATCCAAATCCTGATCATCCAGTGAAGCAATTAGTATGGAATCTATGACAACTTTTACAATAAAAACCATTTGCTTGATCAGAATGAAATGTATACAAACCATGATTTCATCTGGTGTTAATTCATCAGTGACATGACATTGAACTCCAGGATATTCGAAGGCTCTAATCAATTCTGGGTCAATACCTCGAGGTTGATGACTAGGCCTATCATGAGTGAAAATGATATGTTTGAACTTAGGTATGTTCTTGAATGCATCCACACTAGCAGATTTTAAAGCCCGTTTCCAATATTCTTCACTCAAATCTGAGCCTACTACAAGTGTTCTGACATTCTTCAACATTGGAACATATAGCCAATCAGTTTCTGATAATACATTATCTCTACCACACTTTTTGCTTCTAATTACTCTTAAGTTTAGAAAATTTAAATCAGTAACATCTTTTCGAACTTGGTCAGTAAATGAAACCATAAAGAGACCTTCCAAGGTGTCTTTGACAGGTTCTAAAAATTTCTTGAAACCCACATCAGTTTCAAACCCCTCTATAATTTCAATGATTTTTAAAGTTTTTTTTGCAGTTTGAGGAATGAGACAGTATTTTCCCGCAACAGATGTTACAGGTATAGAAAAGTACCGTAAACTTGATAAAGCTGTAGGTCTCCACACACGAGGTATAAATAAATCCTAATTAAAGGATAAGTTCTCGAGCTTAGGTATCACTGAGTAGAATTCTGTCATTGAGTCTTCATCATGAATTCCATATCCTAGGTCTGGGTCTTGGTCAAAGGAGATTGCCAACGATGTTGAATTTTGAATAGTTGAAATGGCTTTGACCAAATCCGGAGTAGCTGCAGTAGTATTTAAGAAGTTAAAGTCTAAAGTTTTCAATTTTGTACTGAGAAATTTGATCAACCTTGCGGCTTGACTCATTGAAATGGGATCAAGGTCTTGTAGACAAAAGGTCATCCAGTGTGCGGTAATCCCGAGCATTGGTACACTGCTTGGTGAAGTCCAAGCATCACTTGTGATGCTTATATACTCGATCAAAGAGAAAAGGGAAGTGAGACAATTTCCAGCAAGATGGTATTGAGCAAGTATATTATTGGTGATGGCGGTTTGTTTGGAAAGAAGAGGAGTGACAGCAGGATTGATCCAGGACAAGAGTTTGCGGAAGACTGGGGCGTTGACTAGTGATACCGGGAGTTCTTGGTTGACGATAAGTCGTATAACAGCGTTAGTGAGAGTTCTCCTGTTGAGACTTCCCAACTTGAAAAGTAAAAAACAAAGATAATCAGCGAGTGACAATGAGAAGAACAAGAAAGAATGAAACACTTACATTTGAAGCCTTCCCGGTTTCTGGAAAGGATGTAAGAGTTTGTTGAGATGTGTTGATCGGAGCTTTGATGTGGTGTGCTCGTGACAGGTGACATATCATCAATTTGGTGCTGGAAGTCTTGTCAACCGCAATCTCTTCTTCACACACTACAACCGGTGTGTCTTGATTTACCTGGTCAGCAAGGCCTTTGTTGGCGCGGCAGATGTTCCTGACCAATTTGTCGGGGAACATGACTGTTGAAAAATACTGCCACACCCAAGAGGTGCGGTTGGTGGCAGTATTTTCTGACTCAACTGCACTAGCCACAGCAGAAATGGAATCAGAAGGAGCAATTGAAGTCGCGGCGCTGGAAGTTATCAACATTGTGTTGTGGTTTGGGTCAGTGATTTTGCGGCAAAGACTGTGTCGAGACATTGGGGTGGTTTGTTATGTCAAGGGATTGGGTATTGGATATCCTGCGGATCAGGGTGCTAGGGTATGGACAAGGGTAAAGGGTCAACCAACAAGCCCTTTGCCCTTCCCTGGTGTTATGTTTTGGCGGCGGCCCCGGCCCCGGACGGCCCGAAACGGGGCTTTTGCCCTTATCACTAGGTTAGGGCTTAGGCCCCGGGCTTGGCAACAAGTTGATCAAAAAAACCCTTGGGCAGGGCCAGGGCCGGGTCATAGCCCTAGACATAACCCATCTGTGCTGTAAGCCATACTCCATCAAAACCCATACCAATTTGGCCATCTGCAGGAAAATTGCAGAGAAAGTGGGTACATAACCCATAACTTTGTAGTACCCCATAAGAGCATCTCCAATCGTTGGCGTTAAATTTGGCTTTAGCAAGGCCCAATTCACAGATCTTTAGCCAGGGCCAAGCTTAGTAAACCCAAATCCCACAATTGTTGTCTTCAATTTGGAGTTAACAAAAGCTAAACCCCAAATTAAAGATTGGGTACACAGTTGTTAGCTCTAGGATAGAGCTAAGTTGTCTTCAAATCTCAAACAGACATTTTAGTATAGGCCCTTTTGTATCATTCCGATTTGATATTTGATTTATATCATTATCAATCAACTCAAGGTTTTTTTCTCACTTCTGAACTCATTGGCTATGTAATCAAATAGATGCATTGTCCTCAAAATCAAAATAATGTTCAGGTTGTGTTTCAATTGATTCAATTCTCAACTCGGATTATCACCATACATCTGAAAATTGATTTTGTGCCCTTTGTAAGCTCAAGCAGCAATATCTACAATTCACTATGATAGAGTCAACCTTTATAAGAATAGTAAGACACAAGTGAAAAGTGATGAGAAAAACTGTAATGGAAAACAATGATTGACTGCAGTGGTAAAATAATGGGAGTGCTGTGGTAGATGGGCAAGGTAGTTGATGAGTGATGAAGATTTGAGGCAAGAGTCAAATCTGTACCTGATCAATGTGAAACCGGAGTAATGTTAAACGTAGCTGAGGGGATCGAGTGAGGTGTGGTTAGAGTTCAAGGTATTGGAGTTGGAGATGTTGAAGTTGAGAGTGTATATCCAGAGGGTGGGGTGAGTCAAGTGGTGATGAAGTGGTGAGGTGAGGGGTGAATTGAGTTAACTAACACTGGGGTTAGCTGGTGTCAAATTTGACCCAGCTTGAAGATTTTTTAAAGATTATTTGGCTAATCCTTGCCTAAAGATTCATGGCTGTGGATATTTGGAAAGAATTAGTTAAATATTTAACTAATCCGGCCCGTTAACCCAACGATCGCAGATGCTCTAACCCATAAGCTTTTTGAGGGAAACCAGAGCTCATAACCCATAATTCAGGGGTCTTTGAAAAAAAAATGTCCAATGGAGGCTTGAAAAACTCTAAACAGGAAGATTTACAGGCAAACTCTATTGATGGTAACCTTATTCAACCTTATTTAACTTTCACACACCGCATATCACAAACTCAATTACATTATGCTTCCTGAAAACTTGTCCAAATACAGTGTGGCCAATATTGGGGAAGGTTTCAAGAATGCAACAAGAAGCAAATGAAAAAGAATCTACAGTAGGAAATATACCTCCACCACCACAACCTACCAATGAAGAATTCCTCAAAGCCTCAGATATCATGCTATATTACTTTGAAAGTGACAATGCACAAGAAGTGCAGGGGTATGAAAGGGCCATCCAAGCCTCTCTTAGACACTGCTGATTGCTATGTGTTGAAGCTGCACAGCAGCAGACTCTTTCTGATATGTTTTTTGAGGTTTCCTAACAAGTTTGTTTTTGGTTCATACAATCTTTGTCATAACCCTTATTTTATCAGTAAATATATAAATATGGCTTTTGAAAGAGATTGAGGTAACCTATACTCTAGCAAAACCCATACTTTTGGGCCACATTTTTTGGGTATGGGTTATGTCAGAGACAACTGTAGTGTGTTTTCCTTTTGAGGATGTTTCCATTTGAGTCTGTTTTTCCAGCAAAAACCCATTAGCTTGAAACTGCCTTCTGACCAGCATTTCATCTTCCTTTTACTAACCGCTGTGTGTGCCTCATAGTATCCTTTCCACTTGTTGCCCAATATAAGGAAGGGAGGCTTTATATGCGAGAAGGGTCTTGCTTGCTTTAAACAGTGACAGAATCTTTGCTAACCACACGTCCCCCAATCTAAGGAAAGAGGTGGAGCATCGAAGTATATGTTTTTTCCTGTTTTTTTTTCTTAAAAAGCCGAGATTGGAAAGAAGTTCGAATGTTGATCAAGACTTGTCCCTCCGGGTTCACGGCTGATTAA